AACACAACAGATGCGCACATACACACATGTACACACGCATATACATATGTATATACACTGCACACATACACACATACACATAGATACTCGCACAGCGCAACACACGTGCACATACACACACGGATACACGAACACATCTACATATGTACATACGCACACACATACACACGACACACACGCACACACACACACACTTATCGACTCTGTTCCCTCAGCAAGTAATGCAATAACCCCGAGGCCACTCTGACTGCCACCAAACGCACAAACAACGCCGTGCGTGGCTTTACCAGTCATGTGTTCGCGGGCATCAGATTTTTTTTTTTGAGCTCAGTGGGACGTTTTCATCGTCGTACTCAACTCTGAGTTTAAGCTACTATCCTATTGCCAGTAAACATTGTTATTAACAAACTTTTCATAATAACTTTGCCAAGGGCACATATATAGAATTGTTTACGCAATTGCTTATCCATGACTCTACGCCGCTACCTACTACCAATTAAAAGCTAACAATTAGATTTTGCCAAACACTTTCACGAAGAAACAAATGTATTTTTGTTTATTCATCTGTCTAAGCCACCCTCCTATTACTAGTAAGAAGTTATAAACAAAATTCACAAATGTTTTTACGAAAGCACAAGTAGATATTTGCTTGCGCACTTGTTTACGTATAAGTCTAAAATACTATCCTACTACCAGTAAAGAATAACAAACAAAAGTTAGGATTTTTTGGCGTCAAAAGTACTTGTTTAACCACTCGTTTATTTACTTGTAACACTGAATTTGTCGCAGTAAGGTAACGGTAAGTAGTTACGCAAACGACATCCACTTCATTACATGTCATATCGTTTACTGATTGAATTTTAGAAATAATTCAATCGATAGGCGATCGATACGTTTGAATAGCAAACCACCGAGATAATTAAGAGCAACATGTGATTTGGGAGATTTAATTTTGGAATTTCGAGATTGAAAAGTTTTAGTTCAAGAAAAGGTTTTAAAGAAGTGAATTTCCATGGAAACTGTTTTACTTTTACCTTTTCTTTTTTTTACTAGTAATCTTTCATAGACATAGTATTAAAGAAAGACTCACTATAATGAAAATGACTAGTATGGCTTATTTCAAAGGGCAATACCCATCAAGCCCAATGCCCTTCCTTTCATTGCTCTTCAATGAGTTTTCCTTCCTGACTACTTTGCTACAAAGTGTACTTTTGATAAGTAGCCCGAATATTGAAAAAAGGTGCCGCTAAGTAACTTAGTACTCAATGTTTTTTGGCTAAATACTTACTATTTAGACAAAAACTATCGATTTTTACTTTGCCTAACATCGTTTACTTGAACCTTGAGTTATTTTGCAAGTGCAGTTACAATAGTTCATACTTACTATTTTTACATCTGCGCCGGTTCATTTTGAGCAAACAGATCGGTCATTATCTATAATTATATTCCTTTATTTTTATCCCTCTAGCCTTGTCGCAATTGTGCTGTCGAGATATGAAGGCTCCTTCCTTCCTTCGGTCTGCTCGGTCTCAGTTTCTGGTGTTGATGGTTTTACTCACAAGTTGTTAATAACTTGTATACAAAGAGCTGAATAACTGAATAACCGATGTGTTTTCCCAAGTAAATCAATTACCTTTCTGTAATTCTAAGCTATACTTCCTAGTAAATTTATGAGAGTAGTTTTCCAGGAAGATTTTTACTCGTAGCAATGTAGTAAAGCTTAGGCAATTACTACGCAGTGCATTAGCTTTTCGCCTTTTCTAGGAACTAGAGTAGGGCTCAGAAACGATGTGACTAAGGAGGTTTACGGGCCTCGTGGTACAGAATCTGAATCTTCCTGAAATCTCCTATGAATGCCCTTTTGCCCTCAAATGTCAACAATGCAAACGTCCTTCCCTTCCCGTTTTCAGGTTTGCTCAGTACGTATGGCACTGGAATTCCCTCTGGGATGAACGGTTTCCCACCTCAATCCATTTTCCTCCCAAATAATAATTCCTATAACCGGCAACCCCAGTATGTTTCTCCTGAAAAAAAAANAAAAAAAAACTTTAGTTTTACTTCTTTTTCTCACTCACTTGGGTGGCATTAGGTTCGAATTTTGATAAGCTTGACGTTTCACCGTTCTCCATAGTTTTCTAAGCACACAGGCATGATTTTAATTTTTCTACAGCCAAGCATTGTCTTTCCATATAGACTTCTTCTTTTTTTTGTAAAATTAATAAAAAAATTCTCAAAGTGGCAGTTATATGGAAACCATTTTGATGATGAATTGTTAGCTTTGCGTTCACTCTTCGTCGACAGTTTTAGTCAGCTGGAAGACGTCAGTTTTTCGAAAATAATCCCCCGTCTAAGAATGTAATCAGCCATCGAATAATATCAATATTTAATCAAGCCTGTGAAGAGAAAAAGCGCTTAGCAATAATCAATACCCCCTTATGCCACGCCTTCGCTTCTCAAGGTTGTCCAGTGGAAAGCCGGCCGGAAGATACGAGACACACTCGGATGCCGTAACTGATCTTTTCGGCGTTACAAACCAAAGTTCGTCGACCGATCTTTTCATTTTCTCTCGTAAAATTCTCTAGCTACCGTATCTCTCCAACACGTTCTGAAGATTTCGTACTCCTACTTTTCTACTTACTACTTTCTTTTACTCCGAAGGTCACCCCTCCGTAGGACAGCTCCCAGGCATCCGTAGCTGTACGGATTTTGTTTTCATATCTATTGGTGAGATGTTGACCAACGATAGCTTACATACCATTCAGTTTTGTGCCGATACTGCAAATCGGGGACACCAATCGTTGAAACTGATCGCGTCGCATGATCATGAGGAATCAGGGGGTATCACAAGCTGTTACAGCATGAATTGCTTCCAAGCTTCTATATTATTTGTCTGAGAAATTCTGTTTGTAATGTGATAAGCTCCTCGGAACGTGTGTGTGCAATCTTTACGCGGCACGGCGCGAAACCGTAAACTTCCCGTGACACCCTGTCCCCTCTTGTCCATCGCCTGCCTCTTGGTGTCATGTATTTAACTGAACTCAGACCGATATTTTATCTAATGCTGGAGGACTCCATCCGTCCGTCCGTCCGGGTGATTAGACACCAACGGTTGTTTGCTCTTCTTCGCCGACTTGCTCTAACTGATCAACTCGGACAACACAAACAACAATTTCTTTAAGTTGATCTTACGTCTGGACTACACGTCCACATACTCCAACACCTCCTTCCTCGAGCTCTGTAGGGTTCTCAGAACGTTCTGTGCGTGCCGTTTCTGTTCTTAATCTGTAAAGCAGCTCAAAACAAGTAATGTGCTGGCTGATGATCGCATTTCGTTGATGCTTCTTGGCAATTTCGTGATTGCTACGAAAATAGCGCTAAAAGAAGGCTTTAAGCAAAGCTGTCATATGATGTTTTCACTAAGCAGTAAAGCGCTTTTCATTAATTCTTATGGAATGCCACCTCCCACGCTTGCCTCCCTATTAACAGCCTGCCTAGCTATCTGTCTAACTGTCTGTTCTTTTTTCATTGTAAATGTCATTCTCTAGGGTTCGGCCATTACAAAGTTAATTTGTCATCACTTACTTTCATTTCTAACTTTACCAGTTAACCCATGATTTACGATTGCTTCACTACTCGTTTATCAACTACGTATTTTCTTGTGAACAGCTACAAATCACTGAATATCACTGACACTTCTACATTTCAGATCCACAGCGACCGTCCAAGCAGAATGACCGACGATACTCAGGTATGTCCCTTTGGGTTAGGGTAGCCCACATCCCCGGAGCCGCCAAGTTTTCAGGGCCATGTATATGCCTGTTACGGTATCACTTTCCAATTTTTTCAAAGCAATTTAGAAATAGGGCGATGAATCAACGGAATTTGCTTAGCGCTGAAGAATTTTTAGTGCTAATTCATGTATGAATTTTTAATTTATTGCGCTGTTTTCAGATGGTAGCTGTGCAGACGCAGAATTGCGGAGTGCTTCATGTTTATGTACAAGGGAATTTAGATGAACGAAATGGAAAAACAATTATTCTCACTTGCCATGATGTTGGCACAAATTGTAAGCTGTTTTTCTATAGGCCATGTGCACTCTGACACATATGAAGATGAATAATTGCAAGACACTTGAAGCTGCTAAAGCTATCCATCTTCCCCCCTAACAGTTTCTGATGCATCCCCTTCTACTCGATTGCAAAGGTTCATGACGTGGTCGAGGAGGGGGTTCTGAAAAGCCTCATAACTTCGTTTCATAGACGAAAATCACTTTGTGGGGGCAATTTTAAATTATTTTGAAAAATTCATACTTGTCAACGACCCCTAGTTTTCACTTGAATGAGATCGTGTTCAGTGACGGGAAATGGATTTCTGCAACTTCAGGGGAGCCTCGTCAAACTGTAAACCTGCAAACTACTGGTTACCTACTATTTTACTTGGCTTACGTAGTATCTGGGATTGCTGGATTGGNAAAATCACTTTGTGGGGGCAATTTTAAAATATTTTGAAAAATTCATACTTGTCAACGACCCCTAGTTTTCAGTTGAATGAGATCGTTTTACTGCATATGAACTCTATGGGATGGTAGAATTTCATTGACGGGAAATAAATTTCTGCAACTCCCGTGGGGCCTCGTCAAACTGTAAACCTCCAAACTACTGGTTACCTACTATTTTACTTGGCTTACGTAGTATCTGGGATTGCTGGATTGGGTACCTTGCATTTATTTATGGCTTAGTGGGTTGCTAGGGACCAAACGGCTACGACTTATCTCTTCAACCATCTTCCCCATTGATGTATTAATCCTGGAGGGCCTAGTCCCCTTTGGTTCAGCTGTACTTGTTATTTATCTTTAAAATAGATCCATTATGTAGGTTTGCACTGCGAACAACGAGCTAAAAAATCCCCATCACGTTTTCCTCCGACAGAAGTGGATTTAGGAATCCTTATAGGTGTTGTTGATTATTGCCAACGTAGTAATACCAGTATAATGGTTGATAAGGGTCTACTCAACTTAGTCGTACTTGTAATGAACTCGGCTGAGGTGAAGAAAAAATAAAGGATCAAGGGATAGGGGAATAGGGGACTAGGGTGGGATAAGGGGCTGGAACTTACGGCAGTACTGTCAGTACTAGCCAATCACTATAGATCATCTACGGTACCGTAGCAGAATAGGAGTAAAGCGGATTCTGTCATCATTCCAACTTTCAATAGAGTGGCTCAAAATATCTCATCATGAACGGCATTCCAATGTGAAATCAAACTTGCCATGGGAAACTTCCCAGGTCTTGGTTTACTCAGGGATAGGGCTGTTGCTCTCCCTTATCCAACTCCTTTACCTCATGACCCAGTGGTTTTCCGAATTGTGAATTTCCTCCTAGAGGTACTGCAGAATGCTGGAACTCCTCCTAATGCCATGTTCACACATTCCAAGGGGTCTGAAGGGGAGATGAGCGTCAGCGACGAGAATGACTCATAAATTTCCTATTACTCAAGAGGCTAGCGACCATCTAAGTGTCTAGAGTGTTTGGATCACGATGCCGCCGGAAATTGAGCGTAGGGAAGATGATTACTGAAGAGTAGAATCCTACCGTACCTTCTCTCTCATCTTGGCGTCTAAATAAAGCTGAGATTTGTTTACATTTTGAAGTGTTTTGCTACGAATCGATGAAAATTTCAGACAAAACATTCGTTCGATTCGTGAATCATCCATCCATGGTCGATGTGAAAAACAAATCCATCTTTCTTCATGTATGTGTGCCTGGGCAAGAGGATAATGCGGCTGATTACATTGGAGAGTATGTACTGACATTACTTATAGGTTCTTACTTAATTGAACATGTTGTTTGAGCTTCTCATGAAGCTTGAAAATTGAATTTGCTTTCGTGACTTACTCAAGAAATTGCCCATCAACCATCCGCTCGTTTCGCCCAATGACACGATAATTTGAAAATTCTCGTGACCGGGAGGGCAACATGGGCCCAACTCTATGGACCAGAGAATTCTATCAGAGAATACCTCGTGAATGTGACGAAAACATTTGCTAGTCATCTGATACACGAAGCAAAAAAAAAAGGAAAAATTTGTTATGCTTTTCAACCCATTCCCAAACAACTCCTGGGTCAAATTTACCTGTGGGAAATGTGTTCCCTTTCGAACTAGTAATTAATTCTAGTGATCATGTGTGGGGAGTAGCTAACAAGTAAAATGATGCAGATAAAGTCGTTTGACATCAGTCAGTCCCGCTCTAGGATGAGCCCTGCATTCAGCTTCCATTCAGAATCGTAGTGGCGGATTGAATGCGTATGTGACCTATAGAACGACTTGCGGTGGCCAGCCGATGTACAAGTCAGTGCTTTTATACTCCCAGACGTGCGTGATACCAATTAACGGACAACGGAGGGATGGAAGGCTTGGTTGGCCTAGGCGAATATCGATCCGAGATTCGAACCCGTGACCATGCGTGTGAGATAGTAGACCACTTGCCACTAGACCACTTCGTCCCGGGATTCAATAGGTCAGGGAGGTCCGCTGGAGATGACCGTGATCACCTAATAAATCACTCAATGAGATGCATCCTTTTTCCTTCCCAAAAAACTCCATATAAAATAAATAATGGTTTGTTATCCCTTTCCTGGTGAAGGGCATCATTGTCCATCAGAATAATGAGTTTCTATGAGTTATTTTACCTTGTTAAAACCACATTGACTAGTTAGAACTTTGTAGATTCCCAACGCTCGACCAGATTGCCTCAGATTTGAACTATGTGCTCGATAAGCTCGATGTCAAGGTATGAACTGGTTTTTCGAAACCTCTATCACAACTCTTCAAGTTTAAAAAAAAATTTTTTGATTACTAACGGCCATAAAAGTGATAACCTTCCTCATAAATGAATTTTTTGGAATTGAATCGCATTCTGTCTTTCGAACAATTCGTACTCGAAAGCCTTGGAGGTGGAGATTGAGGAAGTCATGTCAGTCAGTCGTGGGGAATATCGGCCTACTCCGATCCATCTCATAGTTCTTTTATCACTTTTCATTCTGTACTCTCCCCGAGTTCGGATTCTCTAGCAAGTATTCAACCAAGTTTCAAAACAAGGTGAACCCACCCTTGATCTAATATCCACAAATCGTTTTTGATCCACTTTCAGGCTCTGAGGATGGCGATATCGCCGAAACGTTAGCTGATAAATTTTTATACCAACCTTGTGGGAGTTCCAAGCAAAATTAACATCAAAGTAAACTAAGTTTCCGATGGAAGTAATTGAGGCACTTTTTGATATCTCCGCGTTTTGGATAATATTCCAAGTGAACTATTCCGGAGCGCTTCCGAGCTTGACCTACTGCCCGGGGAACGACCGTCGAAACTAGGTCCCCTTCGCGCACGGCGCAGCCCACTCCTACCTCACTGACATGACATTACAGTACCCCTAAATGTCAGTAGAAAGAATGATTTGCATGTTACCCTCATTTTGAGCTGACGATGAGTCCCGCCGTGATTCGTATGTTCCTCTGATAAGGCGACGTTTGTCAAAGATCGCGGGCTGACACGCCGCGTGCGACGGCTGCGGCGTGACCTAGTTTCGACGGACGCGTGGAACAAGACGCGCGCCTATGCCCAGTACTATATTCTAAAAGAGGTTTGAGGAAATTACCCTTTGCTAGTGCATAGAATAGCTTTGCAGAGCTTCGTTAAAATAACAAATAAAAATAAAACATAAAATAAGCTCTTTTTGCAGTAATTGTTAGTTATTTTCTGGTGCCCTTCAAAGTCACTGGCTTTATTTTGGCATATGAGGTCAGGCTTATGTGGAATACGGTACTTAAGGCTTGTTGTTTCAGTCATGCATCGTCTTCGGCGAAGGAGCCGGTGCGAACATTTTATGTCGGTTTGCGGTGAGTACTTCTTGATAATCGATACTTGTAAGGCTTTAACAAGTTTACACATTCAATCATTTTTCAGATGGCAAATCCCAATAGGATTCTTGGAACAATTCTTGTGCATTGCACGTCAACGACAGCAGGAATTGTAGAATACTGCAAAGATAAGGTAAGTGACGTAGGTGGCTTTGTAATAAGTGCTACTTTTTAATAGTAACACATAATTTCAGGTTATCAATATGCGCCTTGAAAATGACATCATGACCGATGGTGCATGGGAATATCTAGTTACGCACAAGTTCGGAACTGTAAGTTATTTCATATACATGAAAATTTTACTAGGGATTAGTCACAGGGTATAGTCACAGTTACCAGTTTGCTGTTACTTTTTACAAATAGATTACTCATATTTTGGATTTTTCAAAAGTGTGTAGAGTTTTTATTATTGAAATTGATGTGAATTTGTTGAAACTAATTCTGTTTTGTTTAACGATCACTCTACAGGCTGCAGACGTAAGTTCATTTTTAAATTTTGGATAAAGCTAGTCCGAACCACTTCCACATGAATGCTTCAACCTGGAACTTGGTACTCGAAACATGCATGATTTCAGTAACTTTAGAATTTTCTAACTCAGTACTGACACTTCTAGATTATCTAACACTTTCCATAACTGCCATGTTTACTAATCACTGCATGTAAACACTCTAGTAGCTGCTCGTTCTGCTGCATGCTCACTTTAGTTTCTGCGTGAATGCAGCGCTTCTCGATCGGTACCACGGTTGGGCGGGACTTACATTCCCGATTTCCATAAGCAACAAAAGAAAAATCCCTGCGAATCTACAGTTAAACGACGAAATTCGGTGCGGATCCGTTTTCCTACCGTAAACCCGCTGCTCTTTCATAATCCTATATAATGGCCCTATAGTAACTTGAATCACATGCGTGGTATCATCGTGATACGGTAGTGGCGCTACAGTAAGATTTTGGAAACATCGAAGTTTCCTACTGTACGAACAAGAAGTAAGAGTAAGACCCTGAGAGGATGCGTAATAGTCTGTTGCCGACATGCTCATACCACCGAACGGTAAGTAGTCGGTGAAGAGCACGGATGGTATCTGGCCAGTGGCTCATCCCATGCTCTTACTTTCTGGCAATTCCTGGAAGATAGGGGTATTTCAAGCTCCCAAGGGTCCCGAACATGACTCCCGCTCAACCTTGATCGATAGTGATGACGTGCACTAACAAATTTTACATTAATCAAATACCATATCCCTACAGAGACGTCACACTATCGTTCACATTACCGACTGAAAAGCCTCAACCTGCCTGCACCATTTGTTACCGTATGTTCGGTCATAAAATATTTTTTAGGTAAACAAGAAGGACAGACAAATGTATGTGGACGAGTTGAAACGTACATTGAATCCACGTAATTTAAGCAAATATTTGCTGTCATTCACTAAAAGGACAGATTTATCTGGTTCGATCGGAACAAAACTCGACAAGTAATATTTGCAACAACTTTTTGTTCACTTAAAATTCTCCCATAATCGTAAATATTCAGCGTGGATACTCTACTAGTCTCTGGCTCAAAGGCATCACACCTGCACACCGTTTATACTACACAGAAAAGTATGAATCGACGCAAAACAACATTGCTTGTGGTGGACAACGTTGCTGACGTACTTCAGGAAGCTGTGAGTTTTTAAATCTCTTCTCAGGACAGCTATTCTGAAGAAAAAATATGGCTGTAGGGCGTTTATAGTAAAGAACCACGTTGCTTCCATGGCAGAGCCCTGTGATTGGTGGACTAATCGATACTGCCGAAAGAACCAATCATAGGCATTCCCAGTACTAGTGCTATGTAGATCATTTTAAGCTACACACGGTAACTTAGACCAAATGTCACATCATTTCGACGTGACCTAAATTCTCTCTATATTCTACCATAGCTGGTCAAACATCAAATTGAATAGAAAGGTGTAACTTGTAAGATATAAAGTAGTACTCGGTTTCAGCCGGATAATATGGCTCGTTCATTCATTCTGTTATGCAAAGGATGTGGTGTTCTATCGGGTGTCGCGATTCCTGGAATGGAACGACAACGGACCCTCAGCAGGTAGTTGTTTACTTCTCGAAGCGTCACGTATGTGCGAGAGGTGGTCGTAAATAAATGGCTTACAGAGGGGTCGACTCTATGACTGGGAACTAAATAATGATTATTATGAAATACATAACCAAGCCTTCAAAATAGCTGGCAACGAATTATACGGAAAAAGCTTTACTATGCTGTAATAAAGGCAGTTTTGGACTCAGTAGCGTTGAAGACGTCTTCGCCGACGTTGAAAAATTCCTTGAGTTGAAGAGAGTTCTGTTGCCTAGTGTTGACGTCAGCTTTACTCCAAGTATAACAATAATTTGACTTGTTTTCAAAAACTCTTTCTTACTTATAAGGGCGTCGAGGACTTGACGGAAAGGAAGCGCGATTTACCAGTAATCAGGCTTATTACTCACTATTCCTAACATACTAACTTGAAAGTAATGCGCAAACCGCCTGCCCTCCGCTCGTACCTTCTTGCTCGTCCTTTCAAAGGAAACCAAAAGCAAGCCGGCTCTATTTATTCAATCCCTCCTCGAAGCCACATCTAATTACATTCTTAAACACTTCCGATTTCCGGTTTTGCCCATCTCCCTGAGTCCTCAGAAGCTTTAATGGAGAACCCCTCTTCCTAGAAGAGCAAATATTCCTCTTATCGCAACTTCAATGGCTATGCATGCGAAAAGCGTCTGTTTGCCTATGGAGCCGCCTATAATGGCGACTTTATGGCATCATGTCAGTCAAAAGTATGCATTGTTATGTAGTAGTAGTAGCTTTACAACTACCATTGGAGGCTTTTTACGCCCTCCATTGCACAATTGTGTTGGGCCTGTCATAATGGAACTGAAGTGGCTTTGATAAACACTTATGGCTGCTCAAAAAAGTAAACAAATATACCACCCTCAATCCTCGTGGTCCCTCAGGATTGCTTATTCATTTGCCATCGAAAGGCATCAATGGTGCTCCATCTACTTACCTACTGAACTTGACGTCTGCACTTTTTGAAAACTTGAAATAGTGCAAAAACGTCATGTACTCATGCAAAACTAAATCATTTTGCCTTTTTACTAAATAAAGGAAAAGTATGAAGGTCATCTGTAGTCTGAGCTCTGTTCTGGCAAACTCTCACAGTGAGAGTTTACACGCAGCGTGATTCCCTTCCCAGCCTACTCGCAGTAGTTCTTCCCGAGTAAAGTATCCCTCCGAAAAGTAATCAGACCGCCAGTAACTGGCGGAAGAAACAGCGGTTTTCAACAAGCCCCCTTCCCTTCTCAGAACTGTCTTTCAGAGGATTACCCAGTAAACACCCACGCACACACATCCCCTGCCTACTTGAAAGATCTGTTCCCAAATCAATCGGACCTCCTCTAGTGATCCATTGCTGTCGGAATCGGAAAAGAAGGATGGCTTTTCTGAAATGTCAAAGTTTTGGGAGTGAATTTCTAGTGAATGAGGTCACGTGGGGAAATTCCCTGGGGATCGATGAGTTTGCCGTTCTCAAAATGTACTACCACCTCCACGCCAGATACTATCACATCCATTATGGAGACATGGATATCAAGGGTTGTCCTGTGGATTATGTGTAGCTCAGTAGGGTTACGGTAGGGTAGATAACTGGTAGGATATACCCTAAACTCAATCGACACTGGTGAAAGGAAGAGGTGTCAGAGGGGGCTACACATTTACGGTTGACAATATCGCCCAGATGGAACCACGCATTCGAAGCTTGTTCTACAAAAAAAAAAAGATATTTTTGTGTCCACAGAGCTTAATTTTTGTGTCCACTGAGCTTTGGAGAAGGAGCAGAAGCATCTGGTAAAGATAGAAGAGGGAAAGTCATTGGAACTTTGAAAATACTTCAGCTTGTCAGCGCCCTTGTCGAGAAATCCGGCTCTGGGAGAGTAAACCTGTTATTACACATTTTTGTGATCTCCTGACAATACTGCGAATCCATACTTGTAACTCTATAGCTCTTACTGAACTGTAAATTTACTGAGCCCTCCTCGAATATCAGCTGGATCTCATGTTGTTTTCAGCTCAATGGAAGAAGCCGATCGCCCTCGTCGTCTTTCCGTTACACAGCCGAATCTGCCGCCAGTACCTTCAGCCTGATGAGCCACTACCGTACCATTTTGTAGTTCGTTAACGAGTTAACAATTACTCGTAAACGATGTGGTATTACAATCATCATGTAAGGTGTGTGTGTCTACGTTGTCGTGAAAATCTTCCATTCTCTATACATACCCACACTTACTACTTGATGTTAACTATATACATTGACGTTGAACGCCTCGATTTGTTGTTTTTCAATAAGTTCAAGGGAGATTGAGAGTTCGTATTTATTTTTCGTCGGAGGTCTACTTCTATAACGATTCCGTTCCTCATATATTACTGTCACGTATGTACACATTGAAGTAAGTTGGAGTCTTATTATAAGAAGATTGTATAAAAGTAATTGATCGGTATACTGTATCTATTTTTTTCTATCAAAATACATTTCATTTAAAAAAAACACGCCAGCGCTGTATGAATTGAAAAAAAAAACTCTAAATCGCTCCTTAGATTCACATACGATCGGACGATTTTGGCGGAGGGGTGGCTGCGCTTCATTCAGACCCTGCCATTGCCACCATCTCAGTCTCAATCTCCTCCATAGGTTACAGTAGAATTCGAAGCTGGAGAAATTGGGATTTGAAGTCTGCTGAGCTTCCAAACATTTTTTCGGATGAACTCTCTCGCAAAAGTAATCAACAAATCCGCGGTCATACTATCTTCATTACTCTTTTAGAGTAATACTCTGAGAAATCATGTTGTAATGGCGAAGCAGTAGCCTGATGCCCATTAACTTTTACTCCATAGACTACTGACTTAACCGGATATTTCTATCATTCGCCTTCACAATTCACTCAGAAACGAAGATAACCCTCAACCACTACACAATTGATTCAGCGACCTTCAGAGCTCTGTAAAGCTAAAGTAAACGTGGCGAAACGAAACACCATTTGTTGTTTCTTATAACTCGTTAAGCAACTAGTAGCATTGTTCTCTTTTCTCTTGTTACCTTTCACAAATCATGGGTGGGTGCCATCAAAACGTTTTGTAGTCGCGTTGGATCAAAGGTGGGGACCGCACGTTTTGATTGTTACTATACTTTCAGCATGCTTTTATGATCGCTACCTTTATTAATTTGCCTCTATGAGCTCCTTATATAATACTTTATATTTTTAGGGCAGGTAGACGGTTACTTGATTACCTGAATAATACTTATCGCTGTGGGATTTGTTTGCGCACATCGTAAGGACGCTACCATCGTGGGTCAAGTGTTGTGAATCAATTTCTTCCAGTATTCTTGTATCACCTGCTGTCCTGCTGATAATGGATTTGCTCAATCGGGCGTTGAGGACATCTTCATTTGTTCCTTTCTCCCCTTTCAGCTTTTGTAGCCCAGCCACCCTCTTCGCTTGAGGGATACTAGGCTACCAATTTTTTCGTTCAGAGCTTCAGTAAAGAAGCCTGATCACTGGGTTGGTAGCAGGCGTAAAGGAAGGCAGAAAAATTCTCCTTACATGAATCCACTTCACTTCGCTGTACCTCTTCCGGCCCTCCAGGACTTGCTTTTATTGTAATGATGATATTCTATGCGTCTGCGATGTACGAAATTGCTTTCATACATCGCATATGGGTACTCTCAGATTGCAAAACCATAGGCTTCAATGCCCTTTTTTCAGCACGGGAACTTCTTGACGCCAAGCTCTTTGAATATTTGAATCGAAGAAGGTGAGAAATACTGCCATCACCGACGTCAAGAGGCAGAGTACACGTCATAGGCTCCAAAATGTATTTCGTGCCATCCGGTGCTAATACGAACTCTCCCGTTTCAACAGCAGGAGCACTTCAACGATAGAGGGGCAGCAGTAGGATATGAGTGAGGATCTGGCGTTATCTGTCCGGCACATTTACCCGATTTCCTGAAATCTCAAATCGTCATACTCCATAAGAGGAAGGCAGGCCATTCTATTAGTCATGAAACCGAAAAAAATACAGAAGCATTATCTGATTATGAATGATCCTGAGTGATATTTTGATATTTCATTGACTGAATTCATTACATACAATATGTACACGCAATATATTTTACAATCTTCTGTACATTGTAGTAGTCGTTCGTTAGACGTGCTCTTCTCTGTCAACACCCATATAGTGCCGTTTATTGGTGATAAAATGATATGAGCGGATAACGACGGTCAGAAACCAGACCTCCAAGGCCACAACAGCCAACGAGCAAAGGATTTCGACGACAATCAGCATCTCTTCCTCTGAAAATAGAAAATTCCCTACAGATTAAAGAAAATCCTAGAATTACTGCTAAATGTACCTATAGTTTTGTAACCGTCATGATCAGGATCGTCGAGAATCCCCGCCTTCAACCCCATGATTAAGGCAAGGAAAAGTATAAACAGAAGGCTTATGGCAACTACCTAAAATCGAATTTAATCGAATAAACATCTAGGGTGACGATCAAATCAAAAGAATTCTTATTGAGATGTCATTTATTTTCCAGTTGAAACTCTTACTAGTTAGTTATACTACAATGGAACCTTCCGGTTTGTTTCCTCCAGCCAATGCACATGTTTACTGGCATTGCCGTGATGTTTCGGAGCAATTAGGTACCGGAACACCCTTTAGGCCGACAGTGCTTTGAGCAGGGTTACGTGCTCTCCGGGAACTCTCGATATGGGAAATCTCGGGATCCCCGGCAAGGGTGATGTTGTACATTGGAGTTCATACCAGTGGAGAGGAGTAGGGCGTCATTTTACGGCTGCGGGAGATGCCACCCGGTTTCGGGAGGGAGAAGGGAGGGAAGAGGAGGGGGATGATATATGAATGACCATTTTTTTTCGGCGCTATGTCTTGACTCTAGCTCCGAAACCAAGCACCGCACCTTATCTCTTGATATCAGAGTATCATCTTTCACACCCGCTTCAATAACGCCCTCACTGAAAGGTTTGTTCCCTGGACTTCGGGGATACGTCGTTATAACTTGCCCTACCGCTCGAATCCTCGTCGGGCATGTGAACAACAGGGAGGTTCTGCCCTTCTATAGCTCAGCAGACGTCATTTTAAAGAAATTTTTTTCAAAAATTCACGAAAATTATGACGAACTTGAGCAGCGATATAGGTGATAATGACACGCCGATTCTCACATCGTAGACCAGCAATCAGGGCTACCGACACAGTGAGTGCTGTGGCAGCGAAAATAATTTCAAATCCGGCTTCAATCTGAGATTTGCCTCCATTTGCCAATGATCGAATTACCCATGATAGTACAGCCGATGAGACCAGAATATGAAAAGCAGCGATTATCGCTGATCCTGTCTGAAAGAAACACTTCGTTTATCACCACTTATCATCATTTATCATTTTATCACTCTGTCATTCATTCTGCGGCAACTATACATTGCATTTGAAAACTGGTTAGAGTAGCGGTGCCCGTTTATTTTCAATTACACGTCCTGCATTAAATCTTAACATGCTTATGTAAGTATCCGATAACGCCTGCATATAAAATGGCTTTTTATAGGAACTGATTCACAAAATCCACGCTCCCCAATTTTTTGTCTGATGAAATCGTTGCGGACGGTTAACATCACCACATTAAACATGATACCATTCGACTTCACTCGAACAACAACTTTTATATCTACAACTCTCCATAAGTAATGGTATTATGCAAATTTTCAAGACTGGGTCACTACAAAGCTAATAGATGAGCCACTTTTTGCTGATACACAAAGTGGGCTGCGTGGGGAACAGCAGTCCCAATCGGCATGCCGCGCTGCGGGGCAACTAACCAAGATAGTAGTTATCTAAAAGATGGCGCGTGGTAGACAACTATGCAGGAATCGCCGCGCGCCTTTATTGGATAGGGGACAGCAGAACACATCTTTTTGGGCTTGAAGCCTTATCAGATCATCCTTTTCTAACTTTTTTATTTGAAACTAAAAATTAATCCCATTTCAATTTCACATGCTGAACATAAGAGAGCAGGAAGTCTTGGGAAACGGGCATTAGGAACGATTTTGGGTAGTCAATTCGCCGCACGCGGCTGTCGCGGGCCACTCATTCGCCGTTATTACGGCTCTAGCGTTCTTCATACAGCTCAATCGATATGCGATCATCATTTTATGCATAATTCTACTATTAGTACATTTGTTCTTGTATTTCTTACCAACTGCTGCATCCTGCTACATTCCATCTCGCGCGCGGCATCCTTCTCACTGCGACGCGACAATTTCGTTCCTACTGCACCAAACCCGGAAATCTTTCCTTACCAGGACCAAAGATTTTTCAATCACAGTTTCGCCTTCGCCTTCTATATACTTTGCTTCAAGTGAATTTCTTTAGTGGTCCACATTTTTGCGGTTTTTCGATCCAATTAGCCCGAGATATGGAAGAAAACTAATTTTCTAGGCGATTGATATATGCGAACTTCCATTGGTAAATGACTTAGTTGACGTCATCACCAGATCTCCCAATCAAAGCGACTACTCGACGGTTCCAGGTGCGTGGGCCCTGATGGGACTACAACTGAAGTACCCCTCTACTCCCTTGTTTATTTCCGTGATTTGTTGCCGATTCGTAAATGAAATCTTTATATCTACTGACAAAAGTACATGTGATCCGGGAGATTGAACAGTGCGCGATGAAGAACCAACTTTACCGAACTCTTACAAGTTTGGCGAGTTAAGAGATGACACCTAGTCCAGCTAGAGTAAGCAGAGCCGGGGTGATATAAGGGGTACAGAGCACGTCACTCCGAAAACACGGGAGACGGGCAATAGGAAACGGTTTTGTGTAGTCGATCCGCCGCACGCGGCTGTCGCGGANTATTACTTTTGGCATGATTTTAGTGTTGGTTCTTTTGTTCCTGAATTTCTTACTTGCTGCTGCATTCTGCTACATTCCTTCGCAGCGGCGTCTCTCTCACCGCCCCGCGACAAATTCGTCCCTACTGTCCCACACCCGGAAAACACAAGTATGGGGTCGAGTCAGCCTGTCACCGGACGTTTTGCCCTTACCACGCCATCCTTTAGATCTAATCAGAGAATTTTGACTTTATTTACATCCCTTTTCTTCTGATCTGGACATTTTCCTTGTAAAGTTCAAATTCACTTGTCACTGAGCAAGCGAAAATGGGTTGCAAGTCAATCAAATTGTGAGTTGGTGGCAAGGGAAGGTGATTACGTGGGTGGGCTGCATTACGAGTTCTGAACTACGTTAGGGACAAATTGACTTTGAAGTGGGAACGACGTGCACCTCTCACTGACCAATTTAATTCCCATAGAACAGCTCTGATTAGAATGTCTCGACTGAAAAAGCTCTTGTTCAGCACGAGTCAGCAAGAAAAAACTTTTACGAAGTATCGTTTACGGTGGAATCTAAGACAGTTGCCCAGAAAGTAGCTATTTCAAGCCTTTGGGAAGATTCTAGGCTATCAGCCAAGAATTTCTGGAGAATCTTGTAAACCATCTCTTCTATAAACCTTTTCTTGACCGAACAATTCAAAGGAACCATGTCCACAGAACAGATAGACAGCCGAAATTCCCAGGGCTCATCATCATTCTCCCAAATTATTTGGAATACTTCAGCTCCCTCCGAAAATGGCTTAACTTCATATGCGGCTATGGATCCGGGACTAAGTAAAATCGAAAATATTCGGTCGAAAAGGCTTTTGGATTGAGATCAAAACGGATCAGTTCAGAAGCGTCATTAGGAGACGTCCAGAGCGCACAGATGTTTGATTTTCAGAGTAATCAGAGCTAATTGGAGGTGATAGAAGCTGTCGAACAAATGCGGAAGCTGGCTCGTTGCCAAAAAACTGACAACAGATCATCTCTTCAGACCAATTAGTGTCGGGGGAGGACATTGGGTGATCTTTTGGTGTTTCCGCTTTTTCAGGGCCATTTTACTCAACAGAAATTCCGTTGACATCAGGACTGATGAATTCTCAATTTTAAGGACCTCACTGTCCCAAAAGCAGCTTCCAGATTACCAGTTATTGCTCGAAGTTTTGGGCCTGAAAGAGCCCCAAAGTAGCGAAATGAAGTGATTCATAAGGAAGATACGGATCGAGCTGCTTATTCAAAGGACACTCCCTAAATGAAGAGAAGAACTTCGAAAAAAGGAGGTAATTAAGAGCGGAAGGTGGTTTTCAGGCATCAAAATCTTACTTTTCCCCGTGTCTCCCCCCCCCCCCCCCCCCCCCC